TCCAATACATGGAGAAGTACGATCCGATACCGACTGGATTTTCACAATTTTTATAAACGCTTCTTCGTACGCCACCGTTGATCTACATATATATCGTTCTTTGATTCTTTGAAACATTCAACAACGAAATCCTTAAAATAACATACGTAAAAGAGAACTCGTATGCATTCATACTTGTACAATTTTTTGATGATTTAATTTATCGATTATTAGCAATCTACTTCTTGGTATTCTCTTAAGGTCGCAATAAATATGCGTAATATGCTATGACTCATGAGATGAATATTTTTCTTAAAACATTCTACCGGAACAATAGGTAAATTACAATGACAAAGAACGAATCGTTTCTAGGATCTCACCCATACAGAAAATTACGCTATGAAACATTTAAAATGATACGATTTTTCTTAAATATGTTAAAGACAAAATTATTCGGCGAAAACTAACTGGAAAAGTTTTACTGCGAAAACACTTATTTAAAACAATCAAATCACAAAATTTAATACGATTGTTAATAACTCAATTCGATATATCTATCGATAACATTTTATTTAAAGTAACTATAAATGAAATTTTCCGATTTTGAATGCTCGTTGATAATGCTAATAAAATAGCTTAATCATAATTAACAAAAGTACTAGTATATGAATGATTTGTCCATTTGTTTAATTGTACACTTGTCTGATAATGTTGGATATATTAATTCATAACAAATTCCGGAAGTACCGCGCTAGGGAAAAAAAGAATCATTGTCGTTTTTATCGTTTGAACGGCACGTATTTTTGTTCGATTGAAGGAAAATTATGTGTTTCTATTTCTTAGCAGGCGATCGATACCAATAGCAGAGACAAAAGCGATTCATTGATTAAAAATCATTGAAATAGATTTAAATTCCACCGGATATGGAGTATTCAAAGGGGTAAAAAAGTTCTAGAACATTCTAGAACATTCTAGAATTTTGGCAAGTATATAAAGAGAATCCTAGTCATTGCGCGACTCCATTCTACAGGCTGCCGGTACGTGGTACTGTGTCATTTGTTAAGTGTATCATTTGTTATATCAATTTAACTGGACATTAAGGCATAATTGCTTTAAATTGACTGATAAGAAATATACGGTAAGTTTATATCAAATTCACATATTTAATAAATGTTTTAATTGATAAACTTCTATGGTTTTATGATTATGCTAAACTATGTTAACGTTTTCATTACCGATCCTTTTTGTTCAATTCAAATTATTAATTCACGTGTATTTTATTCACACGTATGTGTTTTTGTATCTTTCTAAAAATTTTACTACACCTAGATTAAATTCGCAATGAAACTAACAAAGTGAAGTAAGCTTTGTTGCATCTATATGTATATATACACATGTGGTGCATACCACATGTTTATGACATGGATGTAATTATTACATATTAGAAAAAATAAAAGAAATACGCGAGATTTTTTTATATAAAGATTAAAAAAAATTAATATAAGTTTAATTTTTTTTTTTAAATATTTATTACAGATGTCAACAGAGATGGAGACAAAAGCGGGAGACGTAGAAACTTTCGCCTTTCAAGCAGAAATTGCTCAACTTATGTCATTGATTATCAATACCTTTTATTCTAATAAGGAAATTTTCCTGAGAGAACTGATTTCAAACTCTAGCGATGCTCTTGATAAAATACGCTACGAGTCTTTAACAGATCCTACTAAGCTTGACAGTGGTAAAGAATTGTTTATTAAAATTATTCCAAATAAAGACGATGGCACTTTGACCATCATTGATACTGGTATTGGTATGACCAAAGCTGACCTGGTAAATAATCTTGGTACAATTGCCAAGTCTGGTACTAAAGCTTTTATGGAAGCGCTTCAAGCTGGTGCAGACATATCCATGATCGGACAATTTGGTGTAGGTTTTTATTCTGCCTATTTAGTAGCAGATAAGGTAACTGTTGTTTCCAGACACAATGACGACGAACAATATCTATGGGAATCTAGTGCTGGCGGATCGTTTACCGTTAGGCACGATACCGGAGAACCATTAGGGCGAGGAACAAAGATTGTTCTACATGTAAAGGAAGATCAAACTGAATACTTAGAAGAGAGTAAAATCAAAGAAATTGTAAAAAAGCATTCTCAATTCATTGGTTATCCAATTAAATTAGTAGTACAGAAGGAACGTGAAAAGGAGCTGAGCGAAGATGAGGCTGAAGAAGAAGAAGAAAAGAAAAAAGAAGATGATGGAAAACCAGAGGTTGAGGATGTAGAGGAAGAAGAAACAGCAGAGGGTGAAGGAAAGAAAAAGAAGAAGAAGACTATTAAAGAAAAGTATACCGAAGATGAAGAATTGAACAAAACAAAACCCATTTGGACTAGGAATCCTGATGATATAACCCAAGAAGAGTATGGTGAATTCTACAAATCATTGACAAACGATTGGGAAGATCATTTGGCTGTTAAACACTTCTCTGTAGAAGGTCAGTTGGAGTTCAGAGCTTTACTTTTCGTACCAAGGCGTATGCCATTTGATTTATTTGAAAATAAGAAGAGGAAAAATAATATTAAACTGTATGTAAGGAGAGTGTTCATTATGGACAATTGTGAACAGTTAATTCCAGAATACTTGAATTTTATGAAGGGAGTAGTGGATAGCGAAGATCTTCCGCTAAATATCTCTCGCGAAATGCTTCAACAAAATAAAATCTTAAAGGTTATTCGTAAGAACTTGGTTAAAAAATGCATAGAATTGTTCGAAGAACTCACAGAGGACAAGGATAACTATAAGAAATTCTATGAACAGTTTAGCAAAAACATTAAATTGGGTATTCATGAAGATAGTTCTAATCGTAATAAATTGTCGGATCTTTTGAGGTATCATACCTCAGCTTCTGGAGACGAAGTATGCTCTCTTAAGGACTATGTAGGCAGAATGAAAGAGACTCAAAAGCACATTTACTTTATTACTGGGGAGAATAAAGAACAAGTTGCAAACAGTTCGTTTGTTGAACGTGTTAAAAAACGTGGCTTTGAAGTAGTTTATATGACAGAACCTATCGACGAATACGTGGTGCAACAAATGAAAGAATTTGATGGTAAGCAATTGGTATCTGTAACCAAAGAAGGATTGGAACTTCCCGAGGACGAAGAAGAGAAAAAGAAAAGAGAAGAAGACAAAGCCAAATACGAAAATTTATGTAAAGTAATGAAAAATATTCTTGATAACAAAGTAGAGAAAGTTGTAGTATCAAACCGATTGGTTAATTCTCCTTGCTGTATAGTCACTTCACAATATGGCTGGACTGCCAATATGGAAAGGATCATGAAAGCTCAAGCTCTTAGAGACACTTCTACTATGGGATACATGGCAGCAAAGAAACACCTTGAGATAAATCCGGATCATGCTATTATCGAAACCCTTCATCAAAAAGCAGAGGCTGATAAAAGTGACAAAGCAGTAAAAGACTTAGTAATTTTGTTGTTTGAAACAGCACTTCTTTCATCAGGTTTTACGTTGGATGAACCACAAGTTCACGCTGCAAGAATTTATAGAATGATCAAGTTGGGTCTTGGTATCGATGAAGAAGAATCTATACCAGAAGAGCAAACAACAGAAGAAGTTCCTCCTTTGGAAGGAGACACAGAAGATGCTTCACGAATGGAAGAAGTAGATTAAGTTTAAGATCTGAATATGACATCAATGCTTAACGTCATTGTAGTCATTGAAAGACTGCTGAAATAACCACGTTTTATGTGGTATTACAAACGAAATTGTCTGATACCAAATACTTTGGAATTAAGTAAAATTTACAATAAAATTTATTACAATATATATATATATTATATATATAAATAAATATATGTATTTTTATTATCTACACCTACCATATTAAATACTACATAATATATTACTACACATAGCAAAAATTAAAAAAAAAAAAATGAATAATCGTTGTAGTTACGAAAATTTCTAGAGACAAAATATTAGATATTAGACACACTTATTTCGTAATGTCACATATTAGCTGAAGTAACCTAAATTGATACTTAAATTTGACAAATTTTTAAATTCAATACATTGCATTACATATTCCTCTTGCCTATTTATATTTGAATTGAATTAGATATACTTAAGCGAAGTTAAGTAGAAAAGTTGCTTATTAATTTCTGGTGATATCATATGATGTTAGTTTCGCGAAATTAATGAATTTCACACAGGTATTTGACGATTATTTTGTCCTCGTTAAAGTATGTCAAAACACGCCATCTACTTGAAGCTTTAAAGCGATCGAAAGAAGCTTCTGTTGCAAGTAAAACTTGGCCTTCGGATAAGACACAGCAGAAAGATATTAAAGAACAATTATGATGGCAAGCAAAGGTTGGAAGGTCAGTGCATCGGTATAATCGTAAAAAGTATACCGTATGTTAATATATGACTATAATAAAATCACTCAATTTACAAGATTTAAATTTTAATAGGTAGTAAAACCACATGTGCCTCTGATTAAATTTCGTAAAGGTGGAAGTGGCAGAGGTAATAATATCAAGCAAGAGTTACTGTTGACATTTGAATGTTTCAGTTGAAAAAGCCGACTGAAATCCTTGTTATTGGTTAGTTATTCCAGGTACAGCCACACCATCTGTGCATGCAGGGCCGACTATGTCGCAAAAAAATATTGGTGCAACAGGACCTGATGTAGTGGTTTTACCGACAATAGAAGATATTTATCTTCCTCCACGCTATCAAAGACGACCCATTGATGAAAAGGAAATTGCATATATTAATGTAAGTATTCTGTTATTTTATCAGTGACTTTATGTAATCAAACTTACCATTCATATAGAACATAAATTATTAGAATTTAGATGAATTTATGATATTTATGATCTTTATATTCATGCAATACTTTCTGAAATCCATATGCAATGGAAAAGGAACAAATTTTTATTAAATTAGTTCTTTTTTGTTACAGAGAGGTGGTCCAGAATAAATTCCTTAAGGAATTATCAACTCTGTACTCAATATATAGAACATTATCAACTCTAGGGTATTATTACACTTTTTCTGTATAAACAATTCTGTAAATAAATGCCAGCAAAACAATAACCTATAAATTGTATATATTTTTATCATCCATCTATCAGACAAGGTCTTTCTTTGCCTATGTGACATTGCCAGAACCTGCTATTTCTGGCTTACTTTTTGGCTTATTCTTGTAACAGATAGAGTGTTTTGATCCTAGACAAAAAAAAGTTCAGTAAAATTACGTTATTCCGGTATAATGTTTGTGTATTGTTACATTAGTATTATCATTAAAAATTAGTCAGCTTCTAAATATAAGGATGTTCCAAACTTTTTAACACAGTTCCTTTTATGTTAATCTTTTTAATATATTTATTGAGTTAGGTATAACAAATTGGAAAGACTTACACTTTTTAAATATGTTCTTTGCCACTTGATTCTATAAATGTATTTGCGAATTCTGTTAAGGATAAATTAAAGAAAAACGTTTTGGGAGTAAAAGCTGATAGACACAGCCCTGTCCCATGACAGAAATAGCAGACGACAGTGCGCTGCGTCTTCCATCCACTTTCGCGATCCCTGGACGTGCCAGTGGAAGAACTACAGTTGTTTTACCATTTATCGAAGTTGCGAGAACGATACGAACGACAAATTTACGAATATGGCTGAAATAACGGATTTCGGTCCAAGAAAGGCGATTTTTGTCCTAGCAATTGTAATCGGGTGTTTTGCAGTATTGTGGCCGAAAATTTTCTATCCTATGTTCACAGCATCTGTCAGTCCACATTATACGTCGGACAATTCGGGTAAGATTTTATCGAAATATCTAATTCATTGAAGATAAAAGAGAGTACGTGATATTACGAAGAAATTTTATTTATATTGAATTTAAAAAAACTAGCTACTTAATTACAATCACATATATTTTTCTGTTGCCTTCAATTCGTTTTCTTTTAATTAATTATTTAAAAGTAAAAATTATATTTTTTTCTTGTCAATGAATTAAATTCTCAAATGTTTATTAGCATGCTGCGATGTAATCTTTGAAAGTGATGTCACTGCTGCTGATATTATGTATGAAATATGTCAGAATATACTGAAACATCATCAAATTGATCCAAGAGTAAGGGATGTTTTGAAAACTGTAAAATTAACACCACAAGGTGCAAGTTTGTGTAGAGAAGAAATTTTAGCTAGATGTGGTATAGATTTATCTACATTTCTTGCTGAAAGAGAACGCCTGGGAAAATCTTATAAACAAGTTTTAGAAGAAATCAGATCATTTAATAGTTCCCTCTGTCTTAAAATACATTTTGGTATAGCTCTTTCTCAACTAGGTACTCCACATCTAATCAGATATCATATTTTAATGCCGCACAGTAAGAATTATAAAAAGTCTTATTTAAAACTTTTGACATTAGCTACTAACAAGCATGAATAACTTTCTTTTACTATTAACATAATTATATCATTTGAATTGAATCACTGAATTAGTAATTACTTCTAATAAAAAGTATCAGTTTGGTATTACTAAACTAACCAATTATATATGGAAAGGAGATTCAAGTTATCTCTTCTATTTGGCAGGTTGCCAAAAGAACAAGTATGTATAACTAGAGATGAGTAGATGGGAATAAGTTTGGCCTATAGTTATAGCTTTAAATGTGTGTAATAGACTAAAATGATAATGTACTAACGTTTCTATAAAACTTGAAATAATTATAAAGGAATTATTACAAGGAATTTTGAGTTCTGTTTGTTTTACATGCTATTTTTTTCAAGTAATATTTAAAAAAATAATATTTGTATTTTTAGGTACCATAAAACAAGAACGAGGTACACCTCCACATGCAGGTGGTTTACATCCTGCATTAAGAGAACGTGGTAGAACTATTCCTTCCTCGCATATTGTACCAAAGGTAGCAGATAGACCTGATCATGTTGTGCCAAAGATGAGACCGCCTTTAGGAGGTGCAGGACATGTTGTTCCTGCACCAAAAGGAAATGGTACTATGGGAATTATTATGCCATTATATACTTCGGGCATTGTATTATTTTTCCTATATACAATTGTAAAGGTAAAATATTCTATAAAATTTGGATATTTAGGTAAATTTATTTAAATTTTATGAAATCTTATTGTAATTTATTTTATTAGGTGCTGAGAAAAAATTCGGATAGTGAAATCATTTCAGAATATCCAGGAGCTGCAGCGGAGAAAGAATTTCGGAAAATGGTATTTAGTCCTGAAGCTTTTGCTACTGCAATGACTGGTGGTACAATGCATTATCAAAAGGAGAGGTCCCCATCGCCACAAAGGCCACCTACCATAGAGGAATTAAAGGACCGTAAGTTCTTTAAATGTTTGAGAGATATTGACAACACTTGATTTACATTATCATTAATGCAGTGTTTTCCTTGAAAGCTAGTTCCTTTAAAGAAATACTGAAAAATAAGGTACATGTTTTTTTGAGTATCTAATCAGATTTTTAAATGGTGTTGCATGATGCAAGGTTTGCACAATTAGAACACACACGTATTTATATCATAAATTTAACAAAAAACTGTTAGACTAAAATTAAAAATATTGTAAGTACTCGTGTATATTCTCTGAACACGTTTGGTAATGTTATACATGCTGGAACACAAGAAGCGGCAGGAGACATAGAGATAGATCAACTGAGACGACGTTTGGTCGAGACGGAAGCAGCCATGGAAAGAATTGTTGTTCAGATGGGCAACATATCACGTTCAGTTATGCATAGTCCAAGCCCACAACAAGAACTCAAGGTTTACTAGACTAATTATGAAACAATTTACATTTTCAGTTTTTTAGTCTTTAGAAATGTGCACGTTGTTGTGTTCTGATTGCGTTTCAAGTTTTACCTCTCCTGTTGTACATTATATACATATTCATTACGAGATCTTCGACACTATGAGATCTTCGACATTTCGCTTTTCCTTATTCTCCAATGCTTCTGTATAACTATATTTAGATTATTGATCACTTTTTATATATTCATCTTCATATAAAAATGTGCATACTCATATTTTAGCTGAGTGAAGTACTCGTTAAAAGCATTTAAATTATTAAATATATTATAAATGATAGAATTTATAGTTCTTATTTTTACATTTAAATAGTAGATGGGCCTCCAAAGTCCAAAGGCCTGGCAGGGGTTGATCGCTCATCTAAGGTATATTCTTTGCCTCAAAGATTACCTAACAAGAGTAACCAAAGTTTGAGAGAAATTGCTTGCTCTAAATTTATATTTTTCCACAAATAATAAATCTGTTATACCCAGGTTGCCTTTAAATCATTGACAATCGTTTCAGTTGTTCAGGTATATAACTTACGACGATTAATAAAGTAACAACGTGAATATGTCATAATAACTTTTATCTTTTGCCTCATTATTATTTTTATACACAGAAATGAGTATATAGATAAAGACGTATTGTTGACTATAACACATGGCAATAAGTACATATCCTCGGCGAAAAATTCGAAGTTAACGAAGCGATTGTCAATGATTGCAACATGTAATATTTTCAGTGAAATAAAAGTATTTGTCATTTAAAGGTAACCTGTTATATTTAGGTATCTTTAAATTCTAATATTAAGGAGTCAACCTTGCAATAACAACGTTTCAGAGTATTTATGATGTATTAAAACATGTTAAAACATATTAAAAATTATCGGTAGTGTATATTTTTTTAGATATAATCTCTTTCATTAAATTCATAACTTTAAATGCATGTTTATAAATTAACTATTGTTATTTATAGCTCCATTAATTTAGTTACTATTACATTGTAAGTTTTTTTAACAGAACAGCATGATTTTTTAAACAATGTTTTAAAATGTGTGAATTTTTAAGCAAATGCTGTATTGTATTTGTAAAAAGAAGGAGATTAAAAAAAACTTTATTTATTTATTAAGTATTAACCATCATAATGCAGTATTCATAATATACATTATATATATATATATCTTATATTAAAAGATTTAAAGTAAAATATTATTCCCTTAAGGCAGTATAATACAAAAGATCATTTATTTGCATTATTTAATTTACAGAACGATACCATTGTCCAGGCTGAACATAGTATGACAGATGAAGAAGTAGAAAACATAGAACATTCGCCAACTGTTAAAGTCATAGGTATGGAAATGACAGCTAGTTGTGAGGGTAAGGGTAGTAGACCTACTACTCCTATAATCCCAATTTCACAAAGGTAATGAAAGCATTTTGAAAAGATATATTTGTTACAATATAGCATATTTAATAAATGTAATGGAACTATTTCAGTCATATTGAGAGAGAAAAAACACCACCAAAACCGATATATTTAGAAGGTGCACTTCCTCCACAATGCGAATTACTTGTAACAGATTCAGAAACGCAAGCTCAAAAAGCAGAAGAGGATGTAGAGGCACCTGTTGTACTTTCAGGCAAAATGACCCTCTCTCTCATCAGTCTCGACCAAAATGCAGCTGTAAGAAAATATTAGAATTACCAACAGAATCAAATGAATCTGCGGAGCCTTGTTTTATTTGGTGATTCTTTCATTCATTTAATTGTTTGCTTCTGTACAGATTAGTTAATATGAAAATGGCAGATCACAGGAACTATGTAGGATGTAAACATTATTTTTTTCAAATAATTACTAACATAAATTGAACATTAATGTGCTATTACGCATCAGTAATTATTAATCTGTGATTTATTTTGAGCATTAATATTTAATTTATATTATCTACTAAATGAATTACTAATGTATTAGTTTTGAACTAGAATGCATACACTATATATATTACATCTTTTTCACTATTACAAATACTAACATTTACATAACTAACATATGAATAACTGAATATTTAATTATAATTTTGTTACAATAACAGCAAACATTATTTGCCTGAACTATTTAAATCCACATAATCATTCTACATTTAGTTACACTGTTTAGTTATCCCTTTCCGAATTTATAATTATTACACTAGATTGAATCATACATTATAATGTCATACTAAAAATAAAGATACTAAATATTGTCCCACTACTTTAGGTATCTGAGGTAGAAGATCACAAAATACAAAATACAGAAGATACAACAATTTTGACTATGGATGATACAGAAAAAGCTCTAAAGGTTAGTACAACCAATAGAAAAGAGGAAGTAGATACCGAACTACAAGTTAATGAAATGAAAGAAATTTATAAAGAAAAACAACAGCAAATAAAAGGGGAAGAAAAAAAGCAAGAAATATATATAGAACAAAATATATTTAAAGATGACCAACAAGAACAAATTGAAGAGAAAGGTGGAAAAACAGAGGTAAAAGGAGGTGAAGAAGCAGAAGAGATTGAAAAGGCAAAGGGAAGTGAAGAAGATAGGGGAAGAGTAAAATTAACTGACAAGGAGGAGAGTGAAGAAGAAAAACAGACTGAGGAAGATGAAGTGGATAAAGATGTAGAGGTGGAGGAGGAAGAAGAGGAGGAAGAGGAGGAGGAAGAGGAAGAGGAGGAAGAGGAGGAGGAGGAGGAGAGTGAGGAAGAAGAGGAGGAGGAGGAGGAGGAGGAGGAGGTGGAAAGCGAGGGAGAAGAGGAGGACGTGGAGGAAGAGCTGGAAGAGGAAGAGGAGGAGATGGAGGAAGAGCAGGAGGAGGACGATGACGAGGACGAGGAGGATGAAGGGGAAGAGCAGGGGGAGGGGGAGGATGAAGAGGAAGAGAGAGAGGAAGAAGGAGAAGAAGAGGAGGATGAAGGAGAAGAGAGAGAGGAAGAGGGAGAAGAAGAGGATGACGAAGAGGAGGAAGGGGAAGTGACGGGAAGCGAATAGGAAATGGAAGAAAAACAAGAGAAAGGACAGGATAATAGAAGAAATATATAAAAAATATATATTTTACTTTAAATATATCAGTGAGAGAAAACAAGTATGGTAAATGAGAAGATAATGACAGTTGTAAGAACAACGAAATTGTAAAAATTTGACAAGGGAAATTAAATAGAACAGATTAAAGATGAAAATAATGAGTTACATTATAATGAAAAGACAATTCAGGATAAAAAGAAAAACTATAATGACGAATTAACGTTTGATTGAATCAGTGTTTACCAATCTTGAAAATTTGCAGACTATAGTAAGAAAGAAATAACAAAATAGTCACGAATGGTATAGATCTTGGTTAAGCACTGCCAAAGACCTAATATGTTCATAAGAATCGAATTTATTATATGATTACATTTTTGCCTATTGTATCTTATATTTATATTTCATAGGATCAAAAATTTACTAATCAGAGGGGCCAAGTAAGAGGCAGTGCATCGTGCACATATCTGATAAAGTCATTGTGCAATAATGACCACAGAATTCAAGCACAGGCAATAGGCACTAAGTAATTATTAATACGCATTACTGTGGTATTAATCCTATATCAGGTATGGTGATTGGCAAGCACTGATCCGTAGAACGCTTGTACACATACCAATTGTTTAATGTTATCTAGAATTTTGTATTATGCTGGCAATTTATTAATTTCTTGTTCATTTTTTATTTATCGCATTAAATTTTATATGGAATTCTGTATGCAGTATTTGAGTTACATTTAGCTGAGAATTTTTTAATAATGTAGTTCATAAAACCATTTAGTATATAGCCATTGTCATTTTCATACCTATGTTTAATTATGCAGTTCCATGTTGAATGCAAACACTCTTCATCATATTATGTATAATTCCCTGACGTTCGTTATGTAAAAATGAAAGATATTAAAATACAAGTTGAAATCGTATTCAGTGTTGTATAAAAATTAAACAGTTTAATTGCATGATCTTCCATAATAATGTTAATAACGTATTTTAATGTTCACATCATGTTTTAATAGCCATTATGAGATGAAGTTATTAGTACTATTATATGATGTCTATATAAATAGATAATGTTAAATGTAAACTATTATTAAATATATCTTAAAAAATTTTTATGTCAATAATACAGAGTTGGCGCATTTTTTTGTAATATGTATTACTGTTAAGAAAACGCGGACCTCATAAATGTTTATCCAGTTATAGTTTAAAAATTACGCCCAATCGTAAAAATGTTAAAAATGTTCCCACATGCGACATTTAAAACAAGTTTGATATAAATGACTTTAATAATAATTAACTAATTTTTTTTAAATAATCGCTTTAAGATATATATGTATGTATGTATAGCTAAATTCTAGTGGAAGTAGGAGCATTTTTTAATGATAATTCATTCATTAATAAAAATGCCGGTCCATTAAATGATAGGTTATTTAAGCTCGTACATTTTGGTAATATCAGTTACCTTCATCGCTGTTATTAAAGGAATAAATAATATTATATCAAAATTCACGTTTGTTTTTGGAATTCTAAAACTAAAATATTGATCTTAAATCTGTTTGTAACAAGATATAATCACCTATTTTGCATGAATAATTTAGGCTTATGATGGAACTAAGTATAATCTACAAAGAACAAGTATCATTACTAAATAATTATTTTAGTTTATAATTTAAAACATTGTATAATTGCATTGGATATTGCAATCTATGTATATGTAAAATATGTATGTATATGTAGCAAGATTAGTTTTCCTAACCTAAATGTATGACATTAAAATTATTTTGTAACCTCTACTTATTTCGAGTTCATAGTTTAACAAACAATAAGATCTGTTTAATACTTTGTAAATCATGAAAGTTTTATAAATATAAATCCTCGGACACTATAAAAAATTTGAGACTAAAATAAATTCTTTGTTTTAAACTTTATATGTTAACCTATAAAAGATTATTTCAGTTTATGAATAAAGAACTATATTAAAATTTTGTTAATAATTTTACAATAATGAAGGAGTAATATAGATTTTCTCTTTAAAGTATAACTTCATATTTGTTGTTGTAAAATTATAATCAATAAATGTAATTTTGTGTACTCTTATAGATGTTTAATTCAAAATATTTTTATTATTTATAGTTGATAAATGCGATAGATGAAAGTACGACATTTCTTTGCGGGTATCCTTATAGGCATCCCTATCGGGATCACTTTTTTGGATACAGTTGGTTACATAGCCAAAGTAGAAGGAGTTTCTATGCAGCCAACCTTAAACCCTGATGAAAGAAATCCTGATTATGTTTTTCTGAATCGCCGAGCAGTTCGTACACAAAATATTCAACGCGGCGAAATAGTAACTGTAAAATCTCCAAAAACTCCAGAACAAATTTTGATTAAGCGAGTTGTAGGACTTTCTGGAGACATTGTGCGCACACATGGCTATAAAGCAGACATTCTACAGGTATTTGAGAATTTTTCACTCCATAAATCTTTTCTTATAGAATTTTATGAATAATAAGGAAATTCATATCTATTTGTTAGATACCTGAAGGTCATTGCTGGGTAGAAGGTGATCATATTGGACGTTCCATGGACTCTAATACTTTCGGACCAATTTCTCTTGGATTGATAACTGCTAAAGCTACTTCCATAGTCTGGCCACCTAGCCGTTGGCGATATCTTTATCCTTCTATGACAAATCATAATTTTCCACTAAATTCACCAAAAGTACCCGCTAGATAGAATTTGTTGTAGAGAAAATGAGGGCTGTTAGTTTTGTTAAAAGACTTCAATGGGATTTACCTGGTACTGTATGTAGACATGGTTTAACAATAGGAGATGTTGACAATGATGGTGACAATGAATTAGTTATTGGTACAGCGGAGGGAGAACTTTATATTTTTAAAGTGAATTGATATTACTAATTTACTAATAATTTATTGGCACGAATTGTTACGCTGTTTATTTTAAATTATTATATTACAGGGCTCAGAGTTATGGCAAAAGATACCTGGGCTAGGCCTTATAACTAGTGTAGCGATAGGAGATATTTTTAATTATGGACGAAATGCGTTAGTTGTAATATGTGGAGATGGCTGGGCACATATCTTTTACAGCCCAAGATCCGTTAACCCTAGTATGAGCAACGTAACTTCTACTCAACAATTAATCAAGGAGCCAATTGATCAAGACAACATAAAACACGGTGAGTTGCAAATTATATTATTGTGTTTTGTATTGCTGTTTAAAAATAATTATAACTTGTATATTATTGGATAAAAATCATAGGCCATCCAAGCACGGATATCGCAACAGGTGTTAACATGACAAGTTCTTCAAGTTTAGATCAAATAGATGGCAATAATGAAATTAATGAATTATCTGGTAAAATGGAGTGTGTTCATGTACAAAGAATCCCAACTAATACAAAAATGGTCTTAGTAGCGGATGTTGATAAAGATGGTGCAAATGAAATGGTACTTGGTTTGACCGATCGTGTAGTTAGATCTTACAGATGGTCAAGTAATCTAGAATTAGGTAGAGGAAAGTTAGTTGGTCTGAATAAATGGGAATGTGCCAATCAAATAGGAACAGTCACATTACAGGTGTAGTAAATTTGTATAAAAGAAAGGTGAATTCTTTAATCTATGGTAATAACGAATTTTGATGTTTTTATTTAGCATATGGCGGATGGAACACCAACTTTGTTAGTTGCTCAACCTGGCGGTACGTTCATGCGAATTAAATGTAATCCAGAAGATTGTCATCTAGAAGACGAAATTAATCAGAAAAGTAACGAAACAGCAGCGAGCTGCGTGGACTATCAAACATTGGGAATATCAAGAATGCGCAATCAAAATATTTCAACGGAAATCATCGGAGATCTAGAGTGTGTAGTAGAAAATAAGTCGAATTACGAATATAAAGAGTTATTATTCAAATCGAGTGTTTTGAACGAAGTGCAATGTGGTAAGAACTTGAAATCTGTCTCATTAGAATTTAAGAAAAATAATTCGCAATCAGAGATAAGGAAAAGTAGCCTTAGTATCATGGAAGGACGTAGGAAAAATTCAACGACCGAAAATTCTAAAACGAATAAAGCTTCTGGAACTACTGATCCTTCTAGTCGGGATCAAGTTGATGGTAATGTTCTTGGAGGCAACGTAATTCTTGGTGGTTACGACATTAAGTCGGAAAAGGATTCTTTGTTACCTACATATAAGCATTTTTCGTGTCAAGATAATAGCGGTAACAATAAGATAGAAGATGCAAAAGGAAAAGGTAAAACCGAAACTGACGCGAATATACAAAATAATTTATTACAAGGAAAACCTTACGCTCTTGCTACTTTAGATGGGACAATAATGTTAGTTAAGGACGAAATCATTCTATGGTAAGATTTCAAAATTGCAAATATTTAGCAACGATACAGGTTACATAATGTTTTCTAGGTCGATGCAAGTAGATCATCAAATATTCGCTCTATGTCGATTAGACGTAACCGGCGATGGTTCTGACGAAATAGTTGCTTGCGCATGGGACGGGCAAACCTACATTTTAGATCAACAACGCAATAGCGTACGTTTTCAATTTGAAGAACCAGTTAGAGCATTCTGTACTGGTAACTATAATGTTACTCCTGGTTTTCCAACACCTTGTCTCGTATATAACAGTTTCAATAATAAGGTAAAGTTTATTATTCGTTTGTAAATCAAACAAATTATAAGTATTAATGTTTGCAGATATTTCTTTATTACGATGTTACACTTCCAAGTATGGTTACTAAGCCTTTGAATCCCATGGACGAACTCGATTCCGAAGAAAAGAAAATTTTAGACAATCTCCTAGGAAACTGTACCGAGATGGAGAAACAACAGAAAATACGAGAGTTAACCGAATGGTTGCTGTATGGAATATCTTAAGATTTAATTCTGTAAAATTATAAGAAAAAAAAAAAAAATTATAAAATTATAAAAAATTACAAAAATAAGGAATATATGCAGATTCTTATAAAGCAATCCTGTTGTTCTTTCTCTACAAGCTACTTCGCTCTAGATAGGAACTATATTTGTTCAACGTCCAGGGAATTTATTGCTCGTATTTCCATATCATTTCCATTCGCGAGTACAGTTTTTATGCGTATTGACAGGACCCGTTCGTTTGACCTAACGTTCGTCGTCATTTCCGTCTTAGAATGAAGGATATATGACCGAAAAAGATTCTTGAAAATTTTTAGCAAACAAGATGGGAATGATATCGGTAGCGGAAGAACTGAAGATTCAACTCAGAGACTGGTTTAAGGATACTCAACTATTTGCATAACATTGCGAAAGATGGAACTTTATCTACCTATCATAAATTAAACAGATGTTCGTGCAAAATCAGTTAAACATATAACATTATGCTGAACGTTATCGTTATTAGTGAGAATGTAGCTCGCATCGAGTACTTTTCCGTCTTTTTACGAAATCGCTGAATTTCATATTCATAGATTGACCATTAGTCGACGTTTTTCGCAAATCTCCTGAATTAACACGCTACGTATCGATGAATTCGATCTTCGATAACGAGTAATAGAAATAGATCAATACACGAGTGTGACAAATATTGGACTACTATTAATCGTTTACCGTGCTACATCGACTATTATCATACTGCAAATAAAAAGAAAGTTGAAATAGTTTTGTCCGTTGCAATAGCTGAGCAGAGTTTAGTTTAAGTGGACGAGAACGAAAGTAGCGAACGAACGTTCTCTATCGTGAGTTAATCCTCAATTTCAACTTCATCGTTTTTAGAATGGCAGAAAACGAAACAAGATCACTGCTCGGACAAGAACTGAAACAACTTACGTTCGGATGGACTGATTACACATTGTTCACTGGTCTCTTAGGGGTCAGCGTCCTCATAGGGATTTATTTTGGCTGTTTTGGCAAGAAACAGGATAACACTACCGAGTATTTGCTCGGAGGGAAAACAATGTCCTGTTTCCCAGTTAGCATGAGTTTAATTGCCAGGTAAAACGCCGTGGAAATTATATTTTCTAACGAATGCACGCGATTCTATCGAAGCGTCGATAAAAATAATTCTTTCGCGATGTTGAAACTAGAAATTGTTTTCTTTGATTTATTTCAGTCACATATCGGCAGTTTCCTTGCTCGCTGTACCTGTCGAAGTATATCAGTATGGCACACAATATGCTGCCTGCATTTTTACATCGATTATATCGTGTGCTCTCGTTTCGCTTATTTACTTGCCAGTATTTTATCAATTACAACTGACCAGCACGTTTGAATACCTGGAAATGAGATTTACGAGGCCCGTTCGGACGTTCGCCTCGTTTCTTTACACGCTTTCTTTGATCATTTACGTCCCTCTGATCATATACGTACCAGCGTTAGCATTTTCCCAGGCAACGTCCATCAATCTTCACTTGATCACCCCGATAATTTGTACAGTGTGCATATTCTACACGACTATCGTAAGTTATTTCACGTACACTTCCTACTTTCCTTTTAAATAGCTTTTAAGAATCGTCGAATCGAACTCTAGCCTAACTAACTCTCGACTTACCAGTTATTCGCGTCGACGGAGTTTAGTATGGAAAGTTCAATGGTCTTCTTGTAGGTTACGCTTAAATAATCGTTCTAAACCATTTCAAAGGTACTCGGTTTTTGCTTTAAAATAGTAAAGAACGAAATTGCATATAACATCTAAACTCCAGTCTATTACCATATAGGCTCGATTAGTTGGATCGTTGAACGATCTTTAAACGTTCTCACGCGAAGATCAGTTTTCATCGGCTGAAAAGATGAACGGCTGGGAATTACGTGAATCGTATGGGAACGATAGGCGACGATACGCGATATTTACAAACATGTCCAACGTTATCGCATATAAGGGACTATATAGTTGATAAATCATATGGGAGATACGAATAAAATATAATTACGATTAAACATGGAATTACGAGCCGTCTTCTTGGCGCGTCGATTTTCGTCAAATGTTTACACTGCTTATAATATTATCGCCAGATACGGCCAGTAATTACAACATTTATGTAAATATTCCGTAAAAAGCGGTTCATCTCACGACACATCGTGAACGATAACGCTATCAATACGTTCGTTTCGATAATGAATATCTTCCTGAAAAATATTTAGGGTGGATTGAAAGCCGTTGTATGGGCTGACACTGTTCAAATGACCGTAACGTTGGGAAGTTTATTCGCGGTATTCATATTGGGTACTATGGCTGTAGGCGGTATATTCGAGACTTGGAGAATATCGGAAGAGGGTAGCAGAATAGTGTTTTGGAAGTATGATCGTCTATAGAACTTTTATTATTATTACTATTATTATTATTATCTCGTATCGAAGCGTCTCCTAATTTGCCATTTATCACACGTCGCAGCATGGATCCAAGTCCGTTCGTTCGAAATTCTTTTTGGGGCATGTCGATTGGTATGTCGATGACGTGGTTATCGGGGCTCGGTATCAGTCAAGTATCGATGCAAAGATTTCTAGCCGTGCCGAATATCAAGGAAGCGCACAAGTGAGTACCGCAATAATATTTCTCGAAGGTGAAAGAAATTTCTGACAAACAAGATTTTTATCTCGTTAGGGCAATAGCGTTTATGGGTTTATGTATGGTAGGTATAAAATGGATATCCGTTTTTACCGGTCTTATAATGTACGCTAGATACCATAAATGTGATCCTATAAGCACACACGTACGTACCATTCGTTCCTATGTAAACAGAAATTAATTACATCCCCTGTTGTAAAAGAAAAAAGAAATGTAAAGGTTCAATTGGTTCGCAGGTAATTTCCAGAAGCGACCAATTACTTCCATATTATGTGTTGGACGTTGCTGCAGATATTCCAGGACTACCTGGTCTTTTTCTAGCCGGTCTTGTCAGCGCTGGTCTGTCGACGATGAGTGCTAATTTGAACACAGTTGCTGGTACAATTTACGAGGATTTTATCGATCCTTGTTTACCCGATAGTAACGAGAAAGAGAAGAGAGCAGCGAAAATTATGAAGGTACATCATAAAGTATTATCTTTGCTCGTCCTTTTGGGCAAAAGTAACAACTAACGACATTATGATTTCCAGGCTATCGTAGTGGTCGTAGGATTAATTTGTATGTCGCTGGTTTTCATCGTAGATCGTTTAGGCGATATTTTTCGAGTATCTTTGACCCTGCACGGTGTAACGAGCGGCGCGATGTTAGGTATATTCACCCTGGGAATGTTGGTACCATGGGCAACGTCGAAAGGTGCTATCGCTGGTGGATTGCTTTCCATGTTGTCCATGGTTTGGATCATAGTCGGGGCTCAAGTGAACATGATTGAAAAACGGTTAATTTACCCACCGCTTTCTACGTCGACCGAAGATTGTTTAAACGCGGAGATCGCGTCGAACCAAACGACAATGAATACGGGTGACATTCTATCGAGCGCGGACGACGAACCGTTTATTTTGTTTACCATATCGTTCATGTATTACGCTTTGGTCGGTTTTCTGATATCGATGGTGGTCGGAACGATAGTCAGTTTTCTGTTTGGCGTTAACGATCTAAGCGAGGTGGATAGAAATCATTTTCCACCGATAGTTCAGAGGTATGGAAATATATTCGTTTTAATTTCGATGAAAAATGGCAAAACTATTCACGAGCATGGCCGTGTCGTTTCAGATTTCTACCACCGAAAAAATACACCGAGGTTCCGATGCATTCGATATCGAACACGCTGGTGAAGAACGCAGAAATGGAAAAGCTGAACTTGTAAAACGAACGTAACTGCTTTTATTCCTTCTCTCTGACGTTGTGTTCATAGAATACATAAAGTCCAACTAAACGACTATTAATTTGTACGTTACGGCGAAAGAAAGTTTTTAATAAAATTAAGAACCTTCGAAGACAAACGAATCGCCGTGCGATAAGCATCGAAGCACAGTCCTGCTCGACCATTTGGCATAACAAAGTTCTACATAACTGGTTCGTTCTGGGTTGAAAGCACCCATTAGACCCTCGAGGAGGGTGTCAAATTGACTAGATTATATATCTGTCCCACGCATCTCAATACAAACAACTCGTTTATACATCTGGAGGAACGATGCCTATCGGATTAGGACGAATGGAAATGCGAAGGGTGTTTTTCGTCCAGTCATTCGTCGAGTTGATCTTGAAAATCCGCGAAAGATCGATCGTAAAATATGCGCGATGATGGTTGCACGTGTCTACGACCGTGCTTCTTCCATTCAATGAAATTTTAAAGATACGGTCCATTCGAAAAGAACCAAACAATGCTACGTTCAAAGGCCGTAATTTAATTTTATACGATGTTTTCATCGAACTCGAGGTCCGTTCGATACGGCATAAAGTTGTTACGTTTTATTGCAAATATTTTATCGTCTCATAAACGGTAACTCGCGACACAGATTGAAAAATTCGCTACGATTTATCGTCCAGTGGCTTACTGTTATCGTTCACAATAGCGACGACATTGTTGCAGTCTCTATGAAAAATCAATAGCGAAGATATATTAAAATCGTAGGAAAGACGCGTATATGCGATAATGCTTTGACCGCAGTGCTATCAGTCACGGTTCACCGAACTTGGATGTGTAACTAACGCAGCTTTCTAAGCTATCGCGTTATTCTCTGCTGTTTAATCCTTTTACAAGCATTCGGATCGCGTTCATTACGGTGGAACGTTGCTTCGCACTTTGGCGCATTTTTACGAAATTCTTTTCTCGTGACAACTCGATTTTTCGAAAACTACGTACGTGGATCCGGCGAAAAGGAATAAAACGTCAAGATTCCGAGGTGAAAGTCGACGAAGGAAGTAACCCTTATCAAGGATTCGAGATATTATCCTCGGCTTTCAGAAGAACTTGGCCGGTAGACAGAGAAGATGGTTTGGAGAGAAGGCTTGGTAGGGACGTTATACGGCTGACGTAGAAACGCCACTTCTGTCTCGAACGGGAGACCACATTCCACCGAACCATTTTATTTTATTGGACTGAAAGGTGTCAAATATAGGTGGCAAAGGCCCTCCTACTTACATTCCTGTCGCGTCCCGTCCTTCTTCCTCTACGGTCTCATTTCACCTCGTAGGTAAAATTTTCGAGCCAGAGGTCGGTCCATTGTCGTCGGGTGACAGTTTTTTGACAGATTCTGTCTGATTTGGTGTCGAGTGACGGAGCCACTATCTCGTTGCATTCACGCGATTAACTAGCTTTACCATCTTCTCCACCGACGTTCTTCGCTCGAGCTTTGGATTGCTCGTGAAATAACCGATCGACCACGTCGATTCGTCGAAAAGCTTGCAACGATATCGCGCGACGGTTGTTTCGTTAATTGGCCTCACGAGAAGGGAATCGTTCGTGCGTGCGCGAATGTTAAAGCAGCTTCGCGAGCAGGTTGGTGAAAAAAGGAAAGACAGAAGTCGGCGAGAGGATGAAAATAAGTATCGAGGAAGGAACGTATGGTTTGTACAAGTATGCGTATGGACGTATATATGTATAGAGACGGAGGTTTGGCTTAGGTCCTCTAATCTCTCTTTCTTCGTCGCTCTTTCTTCGTGTCTCGTCGAGTGTAACTATATAACGGGGTTCCCCGGTTTTTGTGAGGTCACGGTATACGCGCAAAAGCGCATAAAAGCTAAGGGGGCGCGTACGGTGTGGGATACGGCTTATTTCGGCGACAATACGTAGGGCCAGGCGCGAGCATAAAGGAGCATAATGCACCCCGCTAACGTGAAAATTATTCTGTCAAACATTCGGACGTCGGATTACGGCGGTAACCTCGTGTCCTAGCAGGACACGCTTTTTTCAGAAAAGACGCGGCCAATAGGCTGCGCAGATGCCGAAAGGATTTCTCGGTCAACGAGACGATCGTTGATTTAAGCGTCAACTCGGAAGATAGCAAATTGGGAGGTCGTGAAGGCAACGTGAAATTTATGCCTGCATAAAATCCTAATATTACGCGTTATTTAATAGAAGAAGGGTTATTCTAACTCGACGATATAATTCCCATTGCACGCAACGTTATATTTCGTTATTGTTTTCACCACCCGTTCCGCTATCATTTCGCGCTACGTTTAAACGCCTCTGGCATCTCGCATATTTTTAGTTACACGTTCGCTTGTTTCTTTCTTTTTTTTTTCTCCTGGTTGCGCGGTTATTTGTGTTCGCAGCTACCCTCCGATGTTACCGTCGAGAGAGTAAACACACCCTATGAAAATGAATACCCGACGGTCTGCCGCGTTCTTCTTGTATTCTCGAAAACAAGCAACGAGCGAAGCGGAGGAAAGAAGATAGAAAGGAGACGCAATAGAAACGTAGCTAGGTAGCAGGCATGCGGAATATTGTGACATCTCTTCCTTGGCTGACATTCAATTTTCAGGCTAGAACGTGGTGCCCCAACCGCACACACCGTACGCCTGTATTCATAGAATGGAACACGATATACGCATCTACCTCCCCTTTCTCTTTTCATTGCAACCAATGCAACCGGCCGTGCCCCGGCTGCTCGTATAGCGTATACAAACAAACAACAACGGTCGTCTGGCCATGTCCACGAGACCGACACCCGCTAGAAGGGATATCGTCGCGCGGAGACACTCGGCTGAATGTGTATCGTATCGATACGACCAATACAATTGGACCCATCAACCGTACGAAAACATATCTGTTCGAGTAAAATTACACGGGGCGAGTGCACGAGAAAGAGGTTAACCGCGCTAGAAAATTATAGGTACGCGGAAGCGAAGCGTAGCTCACCGATACGAAAATGGGCATCGAAAGCGTGCAGGATCACGCGACACGCACGAGACCAGCCGACTCTCACCGACGACGTCTCTATGCCGGTTGCGATTCGTCGAATTCTTTGCGAACCAGCTATTTACGTTTTCCTCCTGTCAACGTTAGGAACCAGTCGAATGAGAGAGAATAAAGAAAAAACCGATATCGAAGGAAATTTTCATCGTTCGCTATCCTCCGACAAAGAGACGAAAACGGACGAACTTTGACATTTCTTAACGTAGATACGTAACGTTGACACGAAGCGTAGAGAGAGAAAGGCAGAAGACAAAGAGAAGGAAGAGATACGCTGGAATATGGAAAAATATCGCTGGCAATTCGAGGACGATATACGCGTATATCCGCG